TGTTTGTAAGTTAAGGCACCAACCACTGGAGCACAAGCCCATTTTTTTTGTAAACATACAGTTGGGGGTCCACAACTCCATATATGAAAATATGGATATAATGTTGTAAAAATCCAGTCATGTTTCTGGGTTGGGAAGGTCCAAGTCTGACAATATTGTGGTGAGATTTATTAGATCATATTTTAACAGAAAATCCAATGTGTAAAAGGAAACGGTATTTAAATGTATTGTCAAGCTTATGACCTTCCGGGATGTCAAATTAATCCTATTTGCTTGTTAAAAATGTGTAAAAACGAGCTTGTTAAGTTCATAATGCACAACATACTGTTTATGTTCTTGGATTCCTTGTAATCTGCTATAAACTAGATGTGTATAATGGGCTTTCTAACCCAGTGAGTGAACAATATGGTTGACCATGTTGTTGAACACCCCCTTAGTGATATGCATTGATTGATGACATGTTTACTCTTGATTAGGTTTCATAGCCCATCATAAATTCCTTGTTTGTAGCAGATTCAAAGTCCATGCAAACATGCATCTCATGTCCATGTTTGCCTAAAAACTCGGTATCCATGTGAAAATGCAAGAAATTGCAGATCAACATGTTGTACTTGTTCATCTAATACCCATATTAAAACAAATTATTTTTTTCTCTTATCAAATTCAGATTTCTTTACTAGTTAATTTTCAACAAAAAAAAAAAAACAAAGACTTCTTTAGAAGGTGTTGACAGGTATGCTTTTGACAGGTATCAAACAATGGTTGGGCCGAAGGAGACTGCAAGGGGAAAGCTGGTTGGTTCCCATTTGGATACATTGAAAGACGAGAGCGTGTTCTTGCAAGCAAAGTGGTTGAAGTATTTTAGGTGTTGGGCATGTTGGGTTTCTTAAACCATGTCCAGTTAGTTTTTGTAGAGCATCCTTTCTTTATTGCAAAGGAAGCCTACTCTTAGTTTGTATTATAAGAATGTATAAAGTATAATGTTCTGTCTACTTTCTCTTATCTGGATTTCTTTACATCTTGAGTGTTTTGAAGCTTCCTGCTGCACATGACCCGTTAGCATAGGTGTGGGGTAATATGTGTCATGTGTAGAAAGCTTAGAAACAGCCCAGGCTGTTTTTCCCGAACAGTTTTAAGTTTTTCTTACATACTTTGGTTAGTGTGAAACTCTACGCTCACTCATGCAAAATGACGAATCGACAAGCGAAGGCGTTTCTCTTTGGTAGTTTCCTTGCGTCTAGTTTGCAGCATCACTATCCTTATCCTTATAAGAAAAATGATATCATGAATTGACGACATGTTTTTCGTATCTACATCACAAACAAGGAAAACCAAAACTGACTTTTAAGATTTACAAAGTGCAACTTAAAACATAATTGCTTTCATTTGGTCTACAAAATAGGATGCCAACCTCTTTCTTTCCTAAACATGAAGTCCTCATAAAAATAAGTCTTTTTCCTCAATGTAGCAAAATCGTCTCTTATGCACTGTATCAATGCATTTCCTTTCTTCTCAACCTCATGATCTGTTTGGTTGCCAAGAAAAGGATGGAAAAGGAAGCATTTTGGTTGAATGTTCCCTTTTTCAGTTTGTTTTGAAGGAAACATTGGGATGAGAATGAAAAAGCGTGGGACATGGGATCCCAAAATCAAGGATCCAGGATCACACCAACACAATGAGACCCCAGTGAGAAAAGAAAAACAAAGGCATTCTGAGAAAATTTTATTGAGCCTCCTCAGAGAGATATCAGCTCCCTTTTCATCCTCTGTCTACACTCCTTCCAATGGTTGGATCTTCGGCGGCATCTCTGGCGATTTTGATCGACAGTAAGTTTAGATCTGTCATCCTCTTGCGATTTTGATTTATTTTTGCACCATTTTCTCCATTTTTTGTCGTGTTCTTCCCCTTTCCCAACCCAACGTCTTGCCCCTCTTGATCATTTGGACCATGTTTTCTGTCACTGACCATGTTTTCCGTTTTTAGCACAAGTGTTCTAGATCTATTGTTTCTGTACAGGGATTTGCCCCCTAGGTTCACATGCAGCGCCATCTTCGTTTGCTGGTTGGGTTCCTGTTTTAACAAGCAATGGTGTATGGGTTTGTCCCTAGCAGTAGTGGTAAAAGAGGATGTGATGAACTGCCATGGGTAAAAAATCCATCTCTATCTTAATAAATCTTCTAGCTTATTGACCAATGGTTCTTCTATTTTGTTGATTATCTTAAATTTTATGGTTTATTTCACTCTTTATTATCGCAATCTAAGTCATTCATGTTGTGAATTGTAGAATATGATCACCCTAGTTGGCCTTGGAAGGCTGAGTGCCTGCAGTTTCTAACCCATTCTATTGCAATTCAATTGTTCTTTACTGGTGACTCAATCTGGTACTTATCGGCATTTTGAGGACATTATATTGAATCTATGAAAAGTAAATTATGACTGTTCTTAGTTGATCCACAAACTCAAACTTAGAAAATTAAAGCAAAGTGATATTGCTCAAGCTTTTTAGCATCTATCACTATTCTGTTTTTCTGAGAAATGACAAATCCATCAGAGAAGGGAAATGCTAAATCTTGATTACTATGGCTGAATGTAACCATGATACTAAACCTTAGTTAGATGTCTGATTTGGAGCTCCAATAAGTAACATAAATTCATAACAGGTAAGATATTTTTTCATGGTACTGTTGGTTTGTTTTTGTGCGATTCATTTTTGTTCTTCAGATTGTATTTATTATACTGCAGATTGTGTATCTTTCATTTATCACCAATATTGTCTTTTCCTTCTAAATGTTTGATGCATAAATAGTAAATTTCTTTTTGTTAGAATGAGTTGTCCAATCCTTGTTTATCCGTGTCCAATCCTTATCTTCTATTTGGATTTATGTTTTTACCCATATTTCAGTGACATGGCTGAAAAGAATGCAACTGGGAAGATCATGCTTCTGAAACACTGCAATTATTAAGGAGGAAGCTGTTTTATGTCTGAATGCTATTTTATTTTTATGGAATTCACACCAAATTAGTGCTGCCACGTGGCAAAATATCACGCCCATATATGTCATGTCATTGTGGAAGATGGTATGAACAGTTGAACATTAACAAGCATGTGAAAATATCAAAATGGATTTAACTCATCCTTCTTGTTAAATTTTCTCAATAATCAAATGCTGGTAAATGAATTTTATGCATATTCTTTATCAGGAAACAAACATGCGATGCAAAACTGAGAAAAAAATCTCATCCCATACTTTCTCATCCTTACTTTCTTGGCAATGAAACGGACCATTAAGTTCAAAATATCACAATGCATCGTACCCATCTTATGAATATGTATCGGTTTTTTAACCGATCAAAATGATTTACATAGGGATTTAGGGGGTTTAATTGTATTTATTTATTTGTTTTTTTGAATCCTAGGGTTTTCTTTATGTTTTAGCATTAGAACCCCTCATGTTTATCATTGAAATACTCGAATAAAAAAATAATAAAAAAAAGTATGGTCCCTTTTCATTCACACGATATACAATTTTTGTGTGTTGTGCATGCCGCTTGACCTGAACTACCATTGTTCCATCTGTTATAAATACAATAGGTTGGAAAAAGAATGCGTCTATGAAACAGTGATGATGAATCAATATTCTTGATTCACTGTGAAGCAGTTGAGAGGTTGGGGCAATCAAGCGAATCACATTTCTAATTATCAAGGACAAAACATCCCATCTCATCTCTGCAACCAATAAAGATAAGATCGAAAGTGAACAAATTACATTTATGTATCAGACATTTCCTGTTGATAAAGTAGCAAATTAGCAGAGTAAACTTAGACAGGTATTTCAGAATTTACCGGATATCTATCACAAATTGGACAAAATAGAGCCAAACCTTCATAGTTTATTTCACAACATGCAAATTGGACTGCAAATTAAGCATTTATCAAAAAGGAACAACCTGGCAAAAATGTATAGATGGGTACATCATGTATTCATTTGCAGATTTCTCAATAGATGATGATTTGCAAAGGAAGTGAAAGGAAATTGCAACATCAGCCCCAACTAAGAACGCCTTTAAGTTCTTGGATCCCTCCACCTCCAGGTTTTATTAAACTGAATTTTGATGGAAACAATATGGGCAATCCAGGGCCCTCCGGAATAGGGGAAGTTATAAGAGATGAAAAAAGGAGGTTATGTTCTCTGGTCCAATCAGGGTGGGAGATTCCTTGAGGGCTGAGATACTTGTAACTCTAGAAGTGGTTGGGGGGGGGAGTACAGGGCTAAAAGACATGAACATAACAAACTGATCATAAAAGGAGACTGAGATTGTGGCAGGCTGTTTAAAACAGAACAACTATAGGCTTTGGAACTACAGTAATTAAAAAAAGGATATTTAAGTGACTGACTAAAGACATTGACGTTCAATGCACATGGGGTAAAAAGAAGTGCACTCTTTTACAGATAAGCTAGCTATTTTTGGGCTTTGTTGTAAATGCTGTTCTGATTTGGGCGTATGCTGGCTGGTTCTGGGAATTAAGATATTTTAGCTCCCTTCCTTTGTAATTTTCTTAATCAACTAATGAATATTTCGATAAAAAAAGTGGAGCAGGTTAGATTTGAGATACTGTCCGTTTTGTGTCCAATTTTTACCTGATTATGATTCTAAAACCGGTCTTTGCATCATATTCTGATCGATACCTAACTGTAATTTATTTATGGATGGAATTAAACTTAAGATCATATATCCGGAACAAGATGGATCCACTCCAGATTTTACAAATTATATGCTCTTTCCATTTCAATGGTATTTTAATTTTGATGCCATCTCATTCTTGATTTGACCAATCAACCTTGCCCGGCAGAAGGTGCAACTCGTTTATTTATTCAGCCAGTACTCCGTTTAGCAAAGAGAGCTTTATCTTTCTGTAATTCAAGTAACAATCACGGAGTGGTATTCCCACATGTCCTAATAGCTCAAATAGCTTTAAGATAATGCCTAAGAGGTAAGCTATTGGTATTTAAAATCAAAGAAAACAACGTTTGGTAACGTGGGCAGGAAAAGCAAAGAAGCCTCAAGAAAGAGAAACAGAAAGAAAAAAAAAAAAAAAAAATTGATAGAAGTAAAATTTCCGTCGGTTTTCTTTTGTGCGTGGCGCATAAAGGTTTCATTCAGCGAGAAATGGCAACATATATCTCTGGGATTAAAAGAACCCATACGACTTGCATTGCTTGCATTCAGAGAAAATTACCACACTATCACTTTTTTAGGGATATATTTGTTGCAGTGTTGGAAGCTAAAGAACAATGTTACTGTAACAACAACGCGGTAGATTCTCAGTAAAAAAGAAAGACCCAGTTTTGTGATCTGCCCATCCATGTTGACAGGATACCCAGAAGGAAAGTTCTACAGAAAAGAACAGCATTTCAGTATTTGATTAATAAATAATTATGGTTGAAAAATAAAACAGGCTAAGAAAAAGATAAATAACTCAAATTACACCACTTAACTCTAATCTGAATGAATTGGTTGTTTAGTGGAGAGAAATGCAAGGAAGATCGAGAGTAGGATGAAGACTGCAATTATCTGCACCAAAGTATTCTATGCTCAGTTTTGATAAAAAAAGTATTTTATACTCGGTGGATAGTCTTCATTTGAAGTCAGTAGAACAAATAAACAAAAGGGACTCACCGCAACTGAATTATAACTTGGTTTACTCTCAACCATATACGAACTCCTGGTTAAAGACAAAAGGCATTGCCACTAAAATTTTGAAAACAAGAGAAAATAATCACAAAGAACATTTGGAACATCAGCAAACCTTTTGTTCAGCAACCCAGAGTTTCTGCATGTCTTCTGTATTGCTTCTATTCGGCTTAAAGTTTTTGTGGCATTTGGATCATTCTTCTCAACCTGCAATAACCACAAGACAAAATAGCTTAGGCTATTCTATGTCGTAATTATGGCAAAATATGATTTGGAATTTTCTCTTTACCCAAAAATCAAAAAATCATTGATCTACTCATGCACCACTAAAAATGTATATACATGGATATTTCTAAATAATAACTTGAATTCTGAAGAATTAAATCGCATGCTAATGGTCAACAAGAATAAACATCATAGTAATTTTATAGTTTCACTCATTTTTCTTAAACTAGCAAAAATAATTATCCAGATAACCCAAACCCCAAACTAATGGTATAGCAGTAATTTACTGCCATTAAATTCATTATTAAAAAAGCTACCATAAAACACTACAGAGAGTGGGCCTCATGGTTCCAATACAAGTGAACCAGAATGCTTTCATGAGCCAAGGTGGCAGAAAGCTTAAAACCCCTTCAGTAACAGGCACACTTTTGACACAACAAGAGTTGAAACATGGATAAGGGATTTGTCAAGTGAGAATTTCATAACTGCACTTCTGAGAATCAGGTGTGCAGGAGTTAATCATTGGCACTGAGTCCAACCTGTATAATGTCAGACCTAAATTTTGCTGGAGAAAAAAAACCTGGGATCTCTGTGAAAGGTAATGTATAATGTATTAAGCATCAAAAAAGTGTACGCCCCCCAGTACAAAGAGATTCTGTGCATCAATGCCACCGGGTTAGAAAGAGTTGCCAAAAAAATCTATGGGTAGAAAAGGATGACTAAAATATCCAAAAAGTTGCAACAAATAGACAGCCAAGCCCTAATAAAGTCAAAAGATGAATTAACCACAGCTTCAACAGGACTTTTCTTCTGCTCAAAAGTTCTGACTTCTGATATTCCTTTCTAACCATATTACCTACATAACGGCCATGGGAACACTGACCAGACAATTCTGCCCTTCTTATTCATACCAAGAACCTGTCATTCACTGAGAAGACCAACCTATTGAAAGTTATCAACCTAAATATTTTTGTCTCCATATCTGTATTAGAGGGGCAAAACCTTCTATGGATGGGCAGTCCAAACTCTTAAACTGACAAAAACACCCCACGCCTAGCCAAGCAAAAGAAAGTGCTTGTGGAAGGATGATGTGACCATCCAGATTGCCCACCTCAAATGTGACATTGTGGATCTCCTTAAGTCCATATGACTCCTGCAGCACCTGTAAGTTATTATTACTTTTAACGGAACAGATAAATAGCTTCTTTTTGGTTATTGACTGAGAGATTTCTTGAAAATTTCCACAAGGAAAAAGGAAATGTGGTGCTGTGGAACCCTTTCAGGCTACCACAAAACCTACCAATGCATAATACATCAGGTCTTCCAAACCCCTCATTTAAGACTAAGAAACCCCCCCCCCCCCCCCATATTAAAGAGAGCTTACAAGAATATGTTAGAGTAACCAAGCTGTATGTAAAGCAATTGTAACAATCTTCAATCTTGAAAAAACTATATTATCACAAAAGAAACATTATATGAATAAATTGCAAGCCAAAGTCATTATCATCATCATCCATGCCTTATCCCAACTATATGGGGTTGGCTACATGAATCCTGTTTTCTGAAGCTGTTCTATTTAAAGCCTGTATCCACCATTTAAATTATTAGTGCTTAAATCATTTCTTACTACTTCTACCCATGTTCTTTTTGGTCTACCCCAAGTTTTCCTAGCCCCTTCAATGCATAACAAATCACTTCTTCTAACTGGCACAGTTGGTGGTCTTCTATGCACATGCCCAAACCATCTTAGTCTACTCTCTCTCATTTTTTATCACCTATTGGAGCTACTCATAGATTCCTACCGATAACTTCATTCCTAATCCTATACTTGCTAGTTTTCCACTAAACCATCTTAGCATTCACATTTCTTCCACATTCATTTTCTGGATATATTGTTCCTTGACTGCTCAACACTCTACTCCATACAACGTAGCTGGCCTTACTATTGTTTTATAGAAAAATGGCAAGCCAAAGTATACACAAATTATCTAATATGCAAGAGAACATTGTAACAGAACATCAATATGGTATTATAACAAGGCCAGGTCATGTTGAATCACAAGTCCTTCAAGTCAAAGGCACAAGATGAATTTCATTTATAAATTGAGCAAAGATATTCTACGATTTTGTGTAAAATATAAAATACTCTCTAGTTACTTGTTATACATGCAGTCAATAGAGCAGTTAGATGTATAGTGTTCAATCAGACTAGTAGGCAACCTAGGGCTCCAGATACTCTTCCCTTATCTCAAATGAAAGTATTTGTTGTTATTTTGACACATGCAAACAAGCACATCATAACGTGTTGATTAACTTCAGCTAATGTAGACCACCTGGTAAAACTTAAGCACCATACCTTCATCTTGAGCAAACAAGAAAAATCAAAAAAAGCACCATAGACATCAGACATTGACTTTGTTCGATCAATAACTTTAGCAGTAAGACCTAGAAAAGAACCACAGTGAAAAGGAGAAAATACTAATCAGAAAGAAATAACCCAATGTTATTATGAACATAAGCATGATATTTGCATGTGACAAAAATAACACAAAAATAGCATAACTATTGATAGAGATTTTAGCCCCAAACGAGACCAAAAGTAAGAACTAATAGATCATGGTACAACCAATACTCAACAACCACTTCAAGTAGCTGAGTATTGGTTGAATAGCTATCAACCAAAATAAACAGTTAGCATGGTAAAGTATTATCTTATCAGAGTAACAATTGATGCTACCAATGTAAACCCATATCTAAAGCCAGAAAGGCTCCCTTCACCTCTCATTCACTGATTCACAAACTTAAAAATGAAAGAGGATATGGCTATTTATAGAGGAAAGGCTCCCTTTACAAAAAGAACCCTAATCCTAGCTAGCTACTCAAAAAATCTAATAACATAAAAAAAAGAAAAAACAAAATACGGAAAAACAAATATCTCTTAAACATCTTTACAATACTCTCTTATGAGAATCTTCTTCTAATTCAGGCTTGAAGCATTGGTCTCCACAAAGAAGGGCTTACTTTGGGTATGTGACAAGAGGTTTTGAGTTGAAATTGTCTTATGAAAATAAATTGGGGGGTGGAGGAAATACAGAATCACTTCTCCTCCAGATGGCAACTGGCAAACTTGTGCCTGTCGTGATATTGAATCTGTTTTGTAACAACTTAGCTCATATAAGTGTGCACTATAGAAAGAATCTACTTCGGATAAACCTGATATACATCAAAAAAATCAAAACATAAGTGCTGGCATGTATCTAATCTGACCATGATCTCTGACACTGTCAATCTTCAAAAAGTGAAAGTGGTTTTCTCAAACATCCACCCACACACACACAGAATATTACCTTAATCAATTGCTCTTACATAAAGTGGCTAAAGCAAGTCGACCAATAAAAATGAGAAAACAATGTTTATTGATTTAAGTTCTAACAAATGGGCCTTCCTGTCAAGGTGGTCATTGCTAGCCCAGCCCATCCCAGGCCCATGTAGGCTTTTCTGGGCCTAGCCTTACATGAAGCCCATATATGAGGGGCCTTGCCCAGCTTGGCCCATAATCATGCTGCCACTAAAACAAAAAATTAAAAATTAAAAAGAAAGAATTTATCAAACTGTAATTATGCTATTCTGACCATCTTAGTATTCCGTTAGTTTATGAAAAATTTGTGACCATCCAAGTTGGCAATACTGAACATGTAGAACTGAAGGAAAATTTCACTTTAATGAAATAAATTAACACCAAAAATACTTTTTCCATGACGTAGCATTTTCCATATGCATATAGAGTGTCAAACTCTGTCTAGAACTGCCCAAGTGTCCCAAGTCAAGTTCCAACAATCTTGTCTTGCAACACATTTTGAACTTCAAACCGCCTTACCATCCAAGTCACTCCTTATTCCTTGTTTCATTAATGTTAAGACTATTGTCATATCAAGAAAATGAAAGGAATAAAAAATGAAAAAAAAAGAGCATGAAATTTTATCAGACCAGAATGGTTAATATTGTAAATAAATTTTGTTCTGTATACATCAATAAGACAACAAAAGAATTTCAAAGTACAGCTTTGTTACCACGTCTCATTTTCACAACTCCTTTAAAGACTTCAATGTTGTTATAGCATAATGCTATTGTTCCAATTGCCATAATCTGATACAAATGGCACAGATTTTCAAGTCAGAATCCTGGAAGAAAGCTTCCTCCCAAGTACGTCCCATAACCATTCATTAATAATGGCATAATGATATTGAGTTACTGACATGTTAAGAGATGGAATCAAGAGTATGGAGTTGGACTAGTACCAACCAGTTACTATATCAGAAGTCATAAAGAGCTATAAGAACCAAAAATGAATGAGATACATACTGTTGGCCAACTAAAAAGATCCCAGATGCAACAACTTCGAGAGCTTGAAAAGTGGAAAAGTAGGATACCAAAATATAAATCTAGAATTGTACAAGACATAAATAACAAGTCACTTTCTCTTTATATCATTGATGCCGATCCTAAAGGAATTACGAGACCTATTCCATTTGTGCAACTTAGGATATTAATGATGTTGTTGATTCCTTTTTACCATAGCTTTGCTAATTGTCTGGTCATTCTACATAAGATGAACCCATTTTCATATTTGCAATTAATGCATGAAATCATTACCTTATCAATAAAAAGGGATGCCTGAAATGGAAAATAAATTTATAGAGTTTCATGTGTCAACTTAAATCCCAAATATCTGGAAACTATGGAATATGAAAAGTTAAAGCATCCAAATGACCTAATAATCCAATCAAAAGCATAGCTAGTAACAGCAAGGGACAAGAAAGAAACTTCTGAGTTTTAATCATTAGAAGAAAAATTGCTACTCAAAAATGTATCAGACGAATTTCTAGGGTATCATTTAAACAATCTCATGGGTCTAGAATCAATGATGATAGGGTTTTTGAACCATATGAAGGGTCTATGGTTGATTTACTTGAGAAGTTGGTGGAAGAAAGTAGATCTAGTAATGTCCGCTATAGGAGTAATTTCTATTCTTCCAATTGTTCTCTAACCTTCTCTGCCATATTTGATAAATTTCTTATAAAATGGCTTAGGATATTAAGCATTAAGGTTGTTACTGCGTCTGATACAGGCTGACCTTGACTTAAGATCACATCTCCATCTTCTTCCCGTTTAACAGTATTGAGGATATAATTTCTTTCTGCTTTAGTAAGGTAATTAGCCCACCAACCTTTGAGTTGTCCAGAGAAAGACTCTGCGACGACAGTTGCTATTACCTTTTCATCATTACCAGCCAATTTGCTAGCACTGGCATACATTGCTATGTGGTGTATCATTTCATGAATTTGATATTCAGATTTTCCATCTAAATTCCATTCATAAAAGGCATTCCAATTATATCCCACTTGTGGCTTCACTGGCTCTTCGAACAACAGGTCCACCAGGGTGTGCATATGGTAATAAGGCTTTTTACTTTGATAAGAGAGCTTATTTAGCTTAGCTCTAAACCTTCTATTGATCTATCATCCATAACTGATTCCTGATCTGATTCTTCTGTTAAGAGATTGATGGAATGGGAGTCTGAGGATTTTGAGGTTCCCTCTTTTCCCACTTTGAAGGGGATACTAATTTGGCAACCATCTCATTATAAGTTACCTTTGACAGATCTACTGGTGTTGTTTTGAGTTTCATATTGTTCGGAAAGCTTGGCACCGCGACCATGGGTCTTTCTTTAATTATTGTTCTAGATTTAGAAATTTCTAATGAGCTTGGTAAAGATTCTATTCTATTGGTTTGTTTGCCTAAAACATTAAGGCATACATTGGTATAATTATTTTGTTCTATAATTTGAGCACAATGTTCCAGACTAATATTTTCATATTCTTTTATTGTGGTAGAATTTTTTATTAGGCTGGCTATCAGCTCGTCCTTTCCTATCTTTATTGCTTCTAATGGTGGATGGATTGATTCCACGATTTTTCCTATTGCTGCTGTCTTCTAGGCTTTAGACAGTTTTTCTGTGACACAAAGTTCTACTTCTTCAATGGAAGGTTTTATGTTTTTGAATTGCTTTTGTTGTGAAAATCAATCCCAAAATGGAACGTTTTCTTTGTTTTATCATGTCATCATACCATAATTTCCTAATACGGTCTCTTTCTGTTTTAGAGAAAGTTTTAAAGAACCATTATTTTTTTATGAGTTGCGCATTAAAATCCAACCTTATAAGGTCTTTATCTATTTGGAATTCTTCCTCTAATTCCATCATGTTTATTTCAAAGTTTGCCTCTGTATTGACCCTGGCTAGTGGGGTGGAAATACCAGTCATCTCCATTGTCTCCATATCCTAATCCTCTTTTAATCCTTTAGTTGTACTGTTCGCTATTACTGTTCACTGTTCACTGTTATACTATTTTGGTATCAGAGCCAATGATCCCAAACCCTCCATCCTTGTTTGACAGACCAAATTTGTTAAAATCTTGAACCTATTTCCACCCCACTTAGACCTTTGTCTACTAGTAAGCATCCGAGAACCTTTGGCTAGAACCCAAAGACTATAGCTTCTTCAAAGATATCATTGGGCTAGAACCCCAATTGGACAGACTAGACATCTTCCAGTTTTACCAAGGCTAGAACCCTTGAGCCAAGGTCGAAATCGCATTGTAGGCTAAAGTGTTTAAGGCCGTCTTAGTTGACTTACCGTATTTGGTGAAGTACAAGGATAAGATGAAGTTATTTAAGACTCCCTCTAGCTTAGGCAACGATTCTGAAGAAAGTAGTGGTAGTTCATCCTTGATCAAATCCCTATCGATAAAATACATAGAAGAAGTAAATTATGATAATATAGAAAAATCTCTGCACAATTGGACTATTCCAAAAATTGCACCATCTGAGATCTATAAGAAAGGAATATTTAATTTAAGAACAGACCTAAATGTTAGGACTGTAGAGAGAACTATAGCACTATGGAATGAATCAGAAACCTTCTCTCTCATAGACAAGAAAGTAATAGAAGTCTACAAGAAGAGATCTAACTGCAATTTTATACATTTTGGCCTAATACAAGTAGCCATAAAACCATTAACCAGATTGGGACTACGAATAGTTGCTTTAGCCTGTTTGACAGATTCCAGACATAATAAATTCAATGACTCTTTATAAGGAGTCATAGAAGGAAGTCTCCACCAAGGACCTATCTACTTCAATGCTTTCCCAAGCTTTTCAGTATCACTAATGGATCCAGGGACACATGAAGCCTTAACCCTTAGGCTTCAGACCCAGAGTTTCGACATGAAACCAGGACCGGAGAATATAGCGTTAGTCTATAGGGTCTATTTTAAGACCATGAATACTATTTGTCCTAATACTAGGATAACCGGAACTAGGGGAACAACTACACTATTCCAGACCAACGCTAGGAATAATGTTACAATTCCTAGGCAAATTACTTGGAAAGAAGTAAAGTTGTCGGATAGTTGGTCCATCTCTAAAGCTGAGACTCCCCGACCCAGTGAATCCATTGAACTAGCATCTATATTCAGTGAACAAGATGGATTTGTAGAATTAAGGTTTAGGAGAGCCTCAACCTCTTCAAGGCCTTCGTACTCCGAACCAGTGGACTTAAGATCTTCTTATTCTAGAAGATCGATAGATTTAACAGAATCTGCACGTCCTCCCCCAGGTATTATTTATGCCACCTATGAAACACCCGTAGATAATATCTCATCCTCGGATTATCATACAATCCAAAAGGGAAGCCAGTCGATAAAGTCTTATGAGCCTACAGAGGCAGACTTTGAAATAAACATGATGTAATTAGAGGAAGAATTCCAAATAGATAAAGACCTTATCAGGTTAGATTTTAATGCACAACCCATAAAAAAACAATGGTTCTTTAAAACTTTCTCTAAAACAAAAAAAAGACTGTATTAGGAAATTATGGTATGATGACATGATAAAACTAAAAGAAAACGTTCCATTTTGGGATTGGTTTTTACAACAAAAGCAATTCAAAAACATAAAACCTCCCATTGAAGAACTAGAACTTTGTGTCACAGAAAACTTTGTGTCACAAAAGAACTAGAACTCTCTCTCTCTCTCTCTCTCTCTCTCTCTCTCATTCCGGGCCACACAAGTCACTCTATAAATAGATGTATTCTCTTCCTTTTGAAGCTAATGAATGAATGAGTATTTCTTTTGAGCAAGTTTTCTGTATGGAGTGATTCCTACTCTCTCTCTCTCTCTCTCTCTCTCTCTCTCTCTCTCTCCCTCTCATTTCTGTCTTCTGATAGTTTGTTCTAGCCCTACTGCATCAGTTTTGGTATCAAAGCTAATGGTTAGTCACCATCTTCTCACAAAGTGACCGATTCTATAGGCATAGGGTATCATTTAAACAATCTCATGGGTCTAGAATCAATGATGACAGGGTTTTTAAACCATATGAAGGGTCTATGGTTGATTTACTTGAGAAGTTGGTGGAAGAAAGTAGATCTATTAATGTCCGCTATAGGAGTAAGGTTTTCAAGAATGTTAGAAGAGAAAGGGAAGTGCCCAACTTCAAGGGAAATGAAGACCGAAAAGCATTCTTTGATTGGACTGCTAAACTAGAAGAATATTTCAATTGGCATGATATGTCTGAAAAGCAAACGTTTAGATTTTCACGCATGAAGCTTGCGGGTCATGCTATATATGGAAAGTCAAGAGATGTCATTGACATAAGAGATGTCGTTTCTAGTCTATCTCTTTCTATTTCTAAATATGGAAAGTTAAGAAATCATCATATAATAATCGAGAAATTGCAATAGAAAAGAATAAAAAAGGGAGGTTTGTGATGATTTTGAAATCTTTTCTACTAGGTAATCTATTCTCCTTATGCATGAAGATAATCAATTCAGTCGTTGTGGTCGGACTCTATTATGGGTTTCTAACTACATTCTCCATAGGGCCCTCTTATCTCTTCCTTCTCCAAGCTCAAGTTATGGAATAAGGAACCGATGAGGTATCGGCAACAACTGGTTTTATTATGGGACAGCTCATGATGTTCAAATCGATCTATTATGTGCCTCAGAATCTAGCATTGGGTAGACCTCATACAATAACTGTCCTAGTTCTACCGTATCATATGGTGGAGAATTCTTGAGCAACTAGAAACTAGAGGTGGATTTACCACACAGGCAGAGATGAAGAGGTATCTGCAAGAAAAGTACATTTCAAAATACTTCCAATGATGATCTATATGTGGAGTTGACTAATCTCAAGCAAGGTATGCTATGTGTAGTTCAATATATGCATGAGTTATAATGAATTATATATTAGATGTGGCATTACAGAAAGTGAAAGGCACAAATCAGTTCATTTCATGAATGGACTAATGGGTGATATCAAGAATGAATTGTCTACAATTCAGATTTATGACTTAGACCATGCCTTTGAATTGGTTCTCAAGATAGAGAAGAAGTAGTTGGTTACAATAAAGAATTTGAAGCCAATGAGAAGAAAGTAAAAAGGTGAAGATAAAGAAGATGATTTCTTGCATGTCGATGCCCCCATCCTAGAGCTAAAGTTGTRAATGAGGAATTTCAACCTATAGAAGTTGTAAACATTGAAGATCAAAAGGGTGTGGGCCATGAAAAGATTAGAATTGTTGAAGAAYAAACTTCCAACACCCATGGTCAACTTGAGGTTAATGATCAAGAAGAGATAGAAGTGGAGAAAGTTGAAGAAATTCAGGTGCAAGATGCAAATGTGTTGGTTGTAGTAGATGATAGTAAGGAAGTAAGTCTTGACTTTACCTTACAAGTTCAACTAGAACCAGTTCAAGAATTACATGTTGACATAGTACAAGTTCCACCAACATCAATAACGGCAGAAGTTCAATAGTTTGCTGAAGAACCAAGGGGAGCTGAACACATAGAGATGGAGGTTTCTCAACAAGGGGTTGAAGGAAAAGTTCCGCATGTTACAATTGAGATTTTGGATATAAAAGTTCATAGTGATAAGCAAGGGGAAGATTCACCACAAGACAGGCTGATTGATGATGTATATGTTCAAGAAGCTAATGTTTTTGAAAGAAGTTCAAGCTTTCTTTTTTTCTTTTTGATAAATAAATGAACTTTTTATTAATTTGGAAAAATTAGCACATACAAGCAGCCCTTGGAGAGGTGCGAGCTCCAATCTCTCTCCACTAAAGAATTAAACAAAAGTAATAAATTACAGTTGTGCCCAATACAAAACTTCCCTAGCTGCCCCTTGCTTGGCTAGACAGTCCTCCATAGCATTTGCTGATCTCCCCACCCATTGTATTCTTAGGTCCATGTCTCTTGTCGGCACCTTAAACTTTTTGTAATTATGGTGAACAGTATCCCGGGCCATACAAGTCACTCCATAAATAGATGTATTCTCTTCCTTTTGAAGCTAATGAATGAATGAAGAATTCTTTTGAGAAAGTTTGCTGTATGGAGTGATTCCTACAAACCCTATAGTGATTTCTTGGGATCTCTCTCTCTCTCTCATTTCTGTCTTCTGATAATTTGTTCCAGTCCTACTGCATCAGAAGTGCAGTCAAGGTAGAATCAAAAAGGAAGAGAAAAGGAAGAAGAAAAGTAGAAGAAAATGTCTTCCAAGAGAGAAGATTTGAAACTGTTCTCCCTCTCTTGTCGACCCAAGTATATTTAAGTGACAGAAAATGCAGAAATGCCCTCCATAAGTTACATGCAAGAGATAGACTAGAAGTAAAGAAAAAGAGACAGCCTTGCCACACTAGACTTTAACAAGAATATTGTAGGATATTTCTCAATTCTAGTTTTGGACAGTGGTGAACATGTTCAGTCCAATTTAAGACAGATCAGAAATAAACTTGGAAGATCTCATACCTGAGGAATGGCACAAAACCGGAACACAGCAGGATCCCGCAAAGCAGACATATATTTCAGGCAATCTTCCACATGCAACAATGCATTTGTGATCATATCATTTAGACATTCCACTGCTTTAATGGAGTTTTCATCATACTTCAAATCCTGATACATTACCAAAGGAAGCAAACAAAATGGAATATAAATTCATCTTCTGGTAATAGTATTTAATAAGCTCAACTTCTAAACATAGATTGAAATAATTCCAACAGAAAGAGTAAATAATAAAAGTACAAAATGCAAAATTGAGAAGAAACAAAGAAAGTAGACAAACCTCAAGTTTATTGACATATTTACTCCAAATTTGCCGAGGCCAAAACATGCGTGATTTTGGTATCTCATTTATATCTTCCAAGTAGTCTCGAATAATATTTGTTTTCTGCAAATCAATACATGCAAAAGATAAGATGTAAGAATTGGGACTAATAGTTATTATTTTGGTTGAGAAATAACAAGTTACCTGGAGAAAAAGACCCATTGAGTTTGAGAGAGAATCTGGAGCCAAATCTTCCAACTTGGAGGCATAAAAAAGCTTGGATAATCCTAACCCAACAAGCCCTGCTACATAGTGGCAGTACTCATCGTAATCATCAACAGTTTCTACCTGCAAAACAAGAAGAAATAAATTAGAGTCCTGCTTGATATGCAATTTCAACCAATGTTACGTGGACATGGACACAGAAATCAGAACCCAATGCATGTCCATGAGTCTGACTTAGCAAGACAAAAAATGGACTTGCAAACATGCCTATAAAAAATTATATTCTATTAAAATAGACCATAGATTTTCAGTTCCAGAATCATATATCTATAGGAAAGTCTAAAAGTTTATCTTTAATAGTTAGTACTTTTCTATAGGAAAAATGGCATTCATCATGTGCATCAGCTGCTCATTTATGCCAAATAAACAAATAAAAAGAAGAACCTTGTTTAGAAATATCACTCAAGAACATATGGAGTGTTGGAATCTGATACATGTTCAACATGGACAGTAATGTATTCATCAAAAAAAACATGGACAGTAATGCATTTAGGAGAGACCATGCAATACTTTTGACTCTTTTATCTTACACATCTACCTACAACATGGATATACTTGTGCAGTCATTGCAGATGCAGCCCTAAGATAAGGGTGCTTCGAAAAACCTACTAGCTTCAAACTTCATAACTCATCATCATCTAAGCCTTGTCCCAACTAAATGGGATCAGCTGCATCAATCCTGTTCCACTATTCTGTTCTGTTCAGTACCATATCTATTCAAACTTCACAACTATTGAATCTCAAATGTAAGAGTTGCTTCATTAAGTTGCAAATACTTGATGGTATTCTGAGAATTATTTTTTAAAAACTAAAGTATTGTATTAAAGAAACCAAAAGATTACATCCTTTTTTTATCAGAAACCATGAAGAGGAATTTCATTAAATTTGAAGAAAAAGATACAACAAGCAGTTGTGAACAACAAGCATGCCCAATAGAAGACACGCCACCTACAAAAGGCTGGGGAACTAGGGGTAAGGAAGCTGATGGTGGAAGGAGATTCAAAAGCTTGTTGAACCAGACTGAAAAGATTCCCTGGTACTTCAGAAATGAAGTCAAAAAGCCGAGGAGAATTACAAGGGATATGCAGCTAGTATTCCATTCGACCCCAAGGTCAGCCAACAGTCTGGCAGATCAACTAGCAAAGCAAGGGGTTGGCAGATCAACTAGCAAAGCAAGGGGTTGAAAAGAGATTTTTTATGTTTTTTTATGCTTTTTTCTGTTTTCTGTTAATTTGTTTGGGGTAGCCGAGGCTACCTATGATCTGTACTGATTTTCTCCTTTAAATAAAAATTTCATGTTGCTGATCAAAAAAATAGGCACGCCACCCAACCCATATTACAATTTTTCCCAATACATTACCTGTCTTTGAATCCCTTGCTTAGCTAAGTTGTCTGCCAAACTGTCTGTAGATCTTCTAACCCAACACACTTGGATGTTCATGTCTTTTGACAGCCACAGAATCTTCTGAAATCATACCTTATCTGCCAAGTCACTCCCTCTCCTTTTTCCAGCCATCTCACAATTACCTTGGAATCCTCTTCAATAATCAATCTGTCAACTCCCAGTTCTTTGGCCTTCTCTACCCCCTAAGTTGCTGCCAAAAATTCTGCTTTCACCAAATCTCCATGCTCTGCCCCGTGAACCAAAAGTTTACATCAGCCCATGTACATTGAGAAGCTGTACATTGGGAATGTACGATATAGATTCTTTCATATAGATTATCAGACAAAAAGAGATTCAGTGTCAAAAAAGGGTTAAGGAGTACGCCTTCGTATGGTTTCTGTATGTAGAGCCATGAGCATAGAATGCCTTTTAGATTCCTTTTCACCAATGTGAAGTCCAAAATGCTTTTCCACTGCTGCTTAAGCCCTTGCGGCCTCCACCCTTGAAAACGAGCTAGCAGAGATTCTGGTAAGCATCCCTTCACTCCAAAGCAAGATAGAGCCAGCAACATACATGATATGAAAATTTACAGTGGATAAATAAGTGATTTGAGGATTCAGCACATTCTCCACACAAGACACATCTTTCATTATTCATGGTTTATGCCTCTTCTCAATAAGGTATCTGCTGATAAACATCTAATGCAGCTCTCCAGGCAAGAAAAGACACTTTCAATGGTACATATTTAGTCCAAATTTTGGACCAAGGGAACTCGTTCTCTTGGCAGTGAGTAATCTTGGAACACAAAGACTTAACTGTGAAGTGTCCTGACTTTTTCCGAGCCCATTTCTTTCATCTATGCCCAGAATGTTTGTTATTTCATTATGTAATATGACCCAGCAGGTTTGCCATTGGTTGAATTTCCCAAATACTTTAAGGCATTCTGAGATTATTGGGTACAATTTAAATAGATTAAATATCAAGACCATTCCACAAAGAAAGGTTGTCAGGACCAGTACTGCAAACCCCAGTGAGGAAGTTAGAGATCAACCAAAGCAGTTGATCACAACCATCATTAGAGACAAGATGATTGTTATACCCTAAAACTTGACTAAGTTTAATAATGAATAGGAAAATCTGTCTGGAATTGTGAAGCACAAAACAAAAGAACATATACAGAACTGCCCCATGTGAGCAACCCTTGGCAGAGAGGGGTGAAGATGAATATGTGAGATACTATTTAAATTAAGAATGCTTTTCAATATCCAAGAGAAGCATTTCCTTTCTTGTGAGCAACTTAATAATTTTGCCAGCAATAAACGTATGTCACTTGTCTTAAAGAGAGAGGGGTGAAGATGAATATGTGAGATACTATTTAAATTAAGAATGCTTTTCAATATCCAAGAGAAGCATTTCCTTTCTTGTGAGCAACTTAATAATTTTGCCAGCAATAAACGTATGTCACTTGTCTTAAAGGAATCAAACATAGAGTGATGATGTACAAGGACAACAAAATCAATAAAGAACCTATTCATGGAGAATGGGAAATTAAGGATGCTTGTTCAATATCCAAGGGAAAGATCTTTTGCTTGCCAACAAGACAAGAACTCAATTATTTTGTGAGCAACAAGGATGCATTTGATAATATCTTAAAAGTGAAGACTGATGATGCCTGTAGTGTCATGGAGAGGTTACATGGTGTGACACTGCTCCTAATACAAAGCAATGGAATTATTAATCTAAAGTGTTAATACCTCATGTGCTTGGAGACCATGAGGGGTATATATATATATATATATATATATTGATAGATAAAATTCAAATGATTTCATTAGAAGCAAATGATAAAAAGTTTGTTACAAGCATCCCAAAATGAGGCGTGAGGTGCCTCACTCATTGATACAGAAACATCATAAATTTACAATTGGGCCCAGTACAACTGTTCCCTAGTTACCCCTTGTTTAGCTAGAGAATCAGCAAAAGCATTTGCCTCCCTCCCCACCCCAATTGGGCCTAGTACAACTGTATAGTTACCTCCATCTGCTGAGTTAACCATTTGAATTTCTTCAATTCATTTCTGTAAGCCCAGATCACTGAATTTGGGTTTTTTAACCAACCCACCACCACCTTGGAATCTGATGTGGACGCGTATTGAGAGCAGCAGCAGCAATGATCTGGTGTTCTCATCCTATCCAATTCGGCAGCAACAGTCTTATCCATTCAGCAGATTAGATTAGACTATCTTGTTATTCTTATCTAATCTTATTAAGTTAGTAGATTAGATTATCTTATCTTATTAGATTAGGATTAAGAGAGACTTATCTTATTAGATTAGGATTAAGAGAGACTTATCTTATCTTATCAGTCTTATCATATCAAGATAGAGTTGGAGGTCTCCCTATTCAGCAAGGAGTCTCCCTAAGAGCAGGACTCTTGTAATCTCCTATTTAAGGAGCCACTAATATTGAATAAAGGCATCCAGAATTTCAGTCAAAGAGAAGAGTAAAGGAGAGTTAGGGTGATCTCTTGGACAAATCACCCCTTAGGTCGCCACAATAGGGTCTGCACGAAAAGGGGGGGGGCAAAGGGAAACTAGAGGTTCTCCCCGTGGACCGACCCGTGACGAGATCCTACGCCCGGGCCCATAACAGAATCCCCTTCTATCACCAAATTTTCCAAACCTAACTTTGCAATCTATACACCTTGTAGGGCTGTGTACAATTCTGCCTTTAAAGAGTCGCCATTCCCCACTGGTCCTAAGAAGAGTGCTCTTAAGTTTCCTTGTCTCTGATGACCCCTCCTATTCCAATTGAGCCTAGGTTACCTTGACTACTCCCACCGAAGTTTAATTTTAGAAATCCTTCAACAGGAGGAGCCCAAACCAACCTTGCTTTAACCTTCTGCATTGAGCTAGAAGCCACTAGTGGCCAATTCCTCCAAATATAATCAAATGTGAAATTTTTGAATAGTTCCACTGTTTGTAGCCAGTGTATAACCCTAGTCATTACACACTCCACAATTTGTCGTTTGCTCCTTTCTTTCTCTTGGAAAATTCCGGCATTTCTTTCTTCCCACAAGGTCCACACTACTGTTGCTCTAGTGTACCTCCACATTACTCTTCCCCTCTTCTTCGGTAACACAAAGGTAGATGGGTCAAACAACATTTTTATCTCCGTTGGCATATTCGGATATTCCACCTGCACCCAAACAAAGACAAAAACCAATCCCATATATCTTTAGCAAATGAACAGGAAATTAGTAAATGGTAACAAGATTCACCATTAGATTTGCATAGAGTGCACCAATTCGGGGAAATACACAGAAACGACCTCTTCTTTTGCAAATAATCTAGACTGTTAATTTTCCCAAGAGCCACTTCCCAACAGAAGACCTGAATTTTAGGGGGAATCAACGGAAACCACACTTCTTTCCAAGGAAAGGACAAAGAGGAAGAGGACTGACAAAGAGCTTTAAAAAAGGAGGCACAAGAAAAGGAACCTTTAGAACTTGGGAACCAAATTCTTCTATCTAGACAAGAAAGCTCTGAGCAAACACTATCAAGGAGAAGGAGAAGGTCTGACAGACAAGTTGCTTCCTCATCCCTCAAACCCCTACGAAATCCAAGATCCCAATTAAGACTCAAAGGCAAAGAAGAAAGAACCAAAAAAATTGAAATGACCTTATTTTTATACAACGAAATAGAATACAAAGAAGGAAAAACCTCCTTTAAAGGCCGGTCACCAAACCAAGTGTCCTCCAATAAACGAATTAAATTCTCTGAGCCAACATCATACCTGATGTACCTGAGAAACTAAGGGAGGAGGCTATGAATTGCTTTTCAAGGTGCTGCCAAGGTAGCCCTACGCGATACACCAGCGTCCCAGCCATTCTCCAATCTACCATGTATACTTGCCACTACTTCAACCCACAAACTTTCTCTCTCAAGAGGCCATCTCCATAACCATTTCCCTAATAGAGCTGTATTCTTCTTCCTTACATTCCCTAGACCTAAACCACCTTCTTCCTTTCTTTTACACACAACCTCCCACTTTATTAAGTGAGCATGAGGGGTATATCCATAGCACTAAAAGGAATAGGAAGAATACTAATCATGATGTCCATTCTAACCATCAATTACTGATAGAATACAAATTGGTATACTTTTTTTTTATTTCTTTTGAAGGGCTACACAATGGGGGGTAGACCATCCCCCAACCCATAACCCCCCCCCCCCCAAATCCAGGTGCAAGCAGGATTCGATCCCAAGTCTCTGCTACGACTAGCAGGAGACCTACCAACCAGCTAGTTGGTACCTTTGCTACAAATTGATATACTTCACAAGATTGACAGTGAAGCCAGTGAAAAGGGGACTAAGTTGTACCATATGATAAGGTGGTTCGAAATAATATCCATAACCACAACCTTTTAAAATGAAAATTTGTTAAGTCATCAATTTGAGATATTCAAGTACTAGGGTTTTAATCACTGAAATTTGGGTAAGTTAAGACCTTTATTTTACCAGTGGAGAGTTATAACCAAAATAACTTGCAAGTCATCAGTTTGGGATGTGAGGAGTTATCTGGTACAGGTTGACAGATTCTAGAAAAGCTAAGGAAATATTAAAAAGGGCGGACATTGAAGCAACAAGAGATCTGAGGATTCACACAATATAGCAAAGTATATGGACCTTGATAGGGTGCAATGGGAAAACGGTATTTCTGTAGCTAACTCCAAATAATTGTGAAAAGGCTTTATTGAATTGGGTTGAATTGATTAGGATTTTCTTTAGGTAATTCTTTGGTGGTCAAAGTGTTGCAAAAGTTCTGAAGCAAGTCTTGGATATAATAAGTTAATTTTTTATCAGTAATGTAACTGTATCATATTAAAATGAGAGGAAATATATGCATTCTACAAGATATAACCAGAAGGGAGAGGAGGTAAAAAAAATGTGAAGGATAAGCCTCAACCCCAAGATTGAGGGAAGCCAAAACACCTCAAGGAAAAAAACAATCTAGACATGGATGTATCAAAGCACAGAAGAAAAGAACCACCCAAAAATAAAGACCACCTAGAGAACCCCCAAATGGTAGCATCACTCACAAAGACCAAGAAAATACTAACCAATACCCAAAACCCGTTCATCCTAACAACTCAATTCAAGAACCTTCCTGGATCATCTAGTACTGCCTTAAGAAAGACCCCAGACATTCAAATTATTGAGCAGCAGAATTTCCCATCTACACCCTCTCCCTCCCTTTGTTTGCATTGCCTTTACCCCATCTTACCTTTGACGCCTTTCATCCTTTTCTTGAAACTGATTCTTCCAAATTCTCCCATGGCAATATGGTTACCCATGTTTCTACACTGTCCTCTTCCATATTGTCAGTAGCTTCCATAATTTGTTCCTTCCCCTCAGTCAAATATTGGATGCTTCTAAATTGTTAGCTTGATCCAGCTGCCCTATATCATCTAACATCTTAAAATATCGTGCAGCTCTTGCATCTTCCCCAAGAAAAGAACCCCAACATTTTTGCTAAATGCCACCTGTTGATGTCCCAGATTCTCTTTCCTAGTGTCTATTCTTCTAATCCTGTGAACACTATATCTGGTAGAAACCAAGGTTTTGTCAGCTAACTACATGTCTAGTTAATTAAATTACTAGATAACTCTTAAAGTTTAAATTCCTCTCTGGGAACTGCTAGTGACCATATAACTTCCAATTTAATTAGCAAAATCCATTGTGAATTCTGATAGCAAATCTACTTATTCAGGTAGACCATGTCTACCTCATTGAAATCATTGAAAGCAAGAATTACAATGTCATAAAATTATCAACCAAAGCAACAGAAAAAAATATCCTTTTAATATATGCATCCCTTATGGTTAAATTTTACAAGCTGTGTTACAAGTACATTACAAACCTCCTTGCATATAAATTTTGCCATTCCTGCACCCATCCTTTTGGTGATATCTTCAATTGCCTCTTGATAACTGCAGAGTCATTCAAACAGAAATAAAAATTATTATATAACTAATGCAGGAGCTGAAGAATCAAATTTGGAATTTTCTTAAATTTTCTATATTTTTGTATATTTGGGCATATCGGTATTTTTGTCATTTTAACTAGTCCTGTGTGGGGCCTAGGCTACATCATCTTGTTCATCTAGTTTAGTAGGGCTATTGTGTTTCTTGGTGCACAAGACAAGGAGTGGCATTTTTGTAACTATGGTGAACAGTTTTCCGGGCCACACAAGCCACTCTATAAATTGTCTTCTCTTCCTTTTGAAGCTAATGAATGAATGAAGATTTCTTTAGAGCTCTTGGTATCAGAGCTAATAGTTAGTCACCATGTTTTCACAAAGTGACCAATTCAATGGGCCTAGGTATCATTTAAACAATCTCATGGGTTTAGAATCAATGATGATAGGGTTTTTGAACCATATGAAAGGTCTATGGTTGATTTACTTGAGAAATTGGTGGAAGAAAGTAGATCTAGTAATGTCGGCTATAGGAGTAAGGTTTTCAAGAATGTTAGAAGAGAAAGGGAAGTGCTTAATTTCAAGGGAGATGAAGACTGCCAAGCATTCTTTGATTGGAATGCTATACTAGAAGATTATTTCGATTGGAAAGACATCTCTGAAAAACAAAGATTTAAATTTGCACGCATGAAGCTCGTGGGTATTGCTAAAGTATGGTGGAGAACTCTTGAGCAGTGAATAGAAAATAGAAGTGAATATCCTATTACCACATGGGCAGAGATGAAGAGGTATCTGCAAGAAAAGTACATTTCAAAATACTTCCAATGATGATCTATATGTGGAGTTGACTAATCTCAAGCAAGGTATG